GGAATGCAGAACAATGTTTCAAGAAGTATGTACACAATAGCAAAAAACCTGGAAAAAACCCAAATGCCATCAACAGCGTGAATAAATAAATTGTGGTATATTCGCAGGAAAGAATATTATATAGACTCAAAGTGAGTGTTCTACAGCATCAGCACCTGCAACAATATGAATGAATTTTAGCAACATGCTATAAGGGAATATAAATCTCAGCAGATTATAGAGCATGATATCCTTTTTATAAAGTCAAACATGGTAATAAAAGCATACTTTTTAGAAATACAGAGGCACAAAACAATATTAAAATGAAAGCAAAGGAATGGTGAAAGGAAAATTCCAGATTGTGATTATCTTTGGTCTAGGTACATGTAAATTCCAGTTTTAGGGTCTGTGATGGATTTATGGGAACTTATCACATTTAAAAATTAATTGAGGCTGGCCAGGCTCAGTGGCTCACATCTGTAATCCAAGCTACTCAGATGGCTGAGTAGCTATAAAATACTACTATAAATATAAAATACTACTATAAAATATAAAATAGTAGCTGAGGCATGAGAATCTATAGAATAAGGTATTAAAAAAAAAGAGTAGGAACAATGTACAGTACTTCTCTTCACCCTTCTGTGTTCAAGGAGTACAGACTCTAGAGCCAGATGAGCTGGGTCCAATCCTCTGCTGCCACAAAACCAGCTGTGGAACCTAGTTGAGTGGCTAGGACACACAGTTCTCACTTACCTGAGTAAAATGCACTTCTGTTCATAACAGAACAGACCTCAGAGGTTGCCAGAGGTTAAAAGAGTTAACAAATGCAAAGTATTGAGAGTACAAATAAAGAACCTTCTTGCACAGAATTATTAGCTGTTCTCTTGACTGATTCTCTCCCTTTCACAGGCAAAACCAAGGTGATCCACAATGTACTGGGCTTATTTAACAGCCCAATGCCTGGGGCTCTTTTCTGATGAAATGGTCACACCCCTTAGTATGAAATGAGGAACCATCTTCTTCTCTACAGAAAAAAGATACTTGCTCAACCCCAAAGTCACCTCAAAGAATCTATTTGTTGTACAACTGTGATTTTTAGATATTCAGGGTGGCCTCATGATCTCATTTTAGAAAACAAAACATGCACTTCTTGTCTTTAACCAGTGGCTTTAAACTTGTAAGCTTTAATTTCTTTATTAAAATGGGTAAATAATAGTTTTGTTGCAGAGGTGTTATAATAATTACATACAGGATTCCTGGTATACAATGATTCTCTTCCTTGGCCTAAGCCATTTGCAGTTAATAGAAATCTCTAGATGGTGACAGGAATGGGGCGTTAACCTGTGTCCACTCGTTCCCAGACAAAACCTTAATTCATTAGGAAGTAGTATTCAATGAATATCTGGGAATGTCATAATCAGGCATGCTTCCTGTTTAAAGCAGGGCCTAATGCATGGGCATTAACCCAAGATGGCTTCCCAGAAAGATCTGGAAGTGCTGCAGAGAAAACAAGGCTCCGGCTAAGAGCCCAGCTAGGAGCCCACAGAGTTTGCTCCCATGGGAAGGATGTGGTTGGGCAGAGACCCAAGAGAGGATGCTATGTGGGACAGTGTGGCACTGGTGCTGTGGGTCCCAAGCAGTGCAGTAGTAAATGGCCTCATCCTCTTTTTCTATAAAGATTATGATAAAGAATGAAGTAGGCATTTGCAAATTTGTTCTTGCCTTAAGTTTGTTGTTTTTCTTACTTAAGGAGGCATGAGCTGGGACTTTTATTGAAGTGATATATGTCAGATGGCTCATAATTTAGATTGTTTCTGTTGGTACCAGTGTATAACTATATTTACAGACTCTGTAAACATAGTGGGCCACACACAAGATACCTGGACACTTTTATCTGTAGCTCTAGTAGATGACATTTTTGATGGCTTTAAATTTAACTTAGCAAGTCCAACTACAAACAAAAAAGAGAAATTCCCATGAACCTGGGACATAGAAAGAGAAAATGATAATGAAACACTTGCATCTGGCTGGATGCGGTGGCTCATGCCTGTAATCACAGTACTTTGGGAGGCCAAGAAGTGCAGATCACTTGAGGCCAGGACTTTGAGACCAGCCTGGCCAACATGACAAAACCCCATCTCTACTAAAAATACAAAAATAAGCTGGGCACGTTGGTTCATGCCTGTAATCTTAGCCACTTGAGAGGCTGAGGCATGAGAGAGAATTGCCCAGGAGGCAGAGGTTGCAGTGAGCTGAGATTGCACCACCGCACTCCAGACTGGGTGATAGAGCAAGACTCTGTCTCAAAAAAAAAAAAAAAAGAATCATTTTCATCGCTCATCTATATTGAAATAATTGAGGAGCAACTCACAGCTGCAGAGGGAGAAAAATATGAATATTCCTAGCAGGGACATCCTCCTGTCTGCTGAACCATATCCCGAGGAGAAGGACGCTGGTTGTTGGCTGGCCCTGGTCAGTGGGGAGAGGGTGTGGCGTGACTTGGCGAGAGAGAAAAATGTGGGGGATCAGGTGGCCTCTGGGGACTTCATGGCCTACTACAGAGCTGACCAGTTCCCAGGAGCACTGCACTGACCACTGGTGGAGTAGAGTCCATGACCTGACAGGAACGTATCTGTGGAATGGGATGGAGGCAGCTCCGGAGTTGAACTAATTCTCCTTCAAACTTAGCTATTCCCCCCTTGATTTTCAGACTATACAACATTGTTCCAGAGAAATGAGCATATGGCTTTCTCTACCTCGCATAAAAATTGATCCTTCTGCTAATGTTTTGGGGATTTGGGACTCAGGAGCATAAAACATGGACAGTATTTTACAATTTTAAAAAAGGCAAACTGAAATTTTACGCCAGCATTATTCATACCTCATTTAAAAAGCTATAGTCATTTCTATTTGAAACACAGTGGAGTATTTGGTTTATAATTAATTGGGATGTCACAATGCAGATTATAACTCAGAGAAATCCAGTTTCACTTATAATGAGGGTGCACCTCAAGAGGAAACTTGATTGAAATTGCTGGAGGGACCGACAGGGCAATCTGTGGGAACTCGCCTTGGACTTCGGAACAGTCTTATCAACACTATGTCACAGAGAGGAGTGTTTTTAAATAAACTTCATTTTTACATGCACTTTAAAATTAATGTTATATCAAACATCTATTGTAGGCTTGCTAACATTGTTCTAAACATTTTCTTGCATTACTTCCTTTACACTTTATCTTCCTCTGACAGACAAGAATGGTGTGGCACACATGACATCCCAGATCACAAAGTTGGTAAACATGAAGCTTGGATAAGTACCTGATCCTCCCTGAAGAAAATCTTACCAAATGTGTTGCAAAGTGATGAAAATATTTTGAGAAGACTCTAGAAGAACGTTAGTTAATTAATTAAAATAAAGAATACAAGAGCAATCAGCATTTATTTTTAAGCATGTTATCTACATGTTTATAATAGTAATATACTTGGATTATTACACAGGATTAAACATTTTTAATGGGTTTTACATTTACAGTTTTATATTCTGTTCTTTTAACTTTATATTTAAAAATATATTTGGTCCTTCAAAAGCTCATCTGAATATTACTATTAGTGACCTATGACAATATGCACCCTTCTAAGACCACTTACCCTATCCAACATCGGCTGAGTTATTTGAAATTTTTGTGTCTCACTTTCTACAGCTATCAGTGTCTTAATAGCTTCCAGGGACTTAAGAAATTTACATTATCACTTAATAAAGATAATGAACATAAAGTGTGGATAACAGTACCTGTCACATACATAGAAATGGAAAACTCCAATTTTTTATGTTTCCATATTGAAAAGTCAATTGGTAGTTGATTGGCATTTTACTCATTCTGTGAATACATCTAATCACTGGAATCCTGGGCATACGCTTCAGCACACAGTAGCAATTTGTGTCAGTTAAAGTTCCATGATGGTCAGTTCTGTCTCCTCCATGGGGATAGGAAAAATGTGTCTTTTCTTTTTTACTCCTGTGATTAAGAAACAGTTTAGTGTCAGATTCAAGAGGAACCAGATGACCTGGGTCCCTAGGCTGTCCTGCCACATACCAGCTCTGTGATTTGGACAAGTGCATGAACTAATACTCCACTTATATCAGGAGTTATATATGTTTGATGAGAACAACCAACCAGACCTTATAAATAGTGTGGGTTAAAGGAGCTAATGTATGCAAAGAATTGAGAACACTGTAGAGAACTTAGACACACACACACACGCGCGTGCGTGCACACACACACACACACACACACACACACGCAAGCATGATACAATTCTCTCTTCCTTTACAGGTAAGATCAAGGGTTATTCCAACATGTCCCAGTGGAGCCTGGGATGACTTGGAGCTCTATTCCTACAATCTCATGTTAGCAAATTCTCCTCCTTACCCCTCCCAGTAAAAAGGGCACTTACTCTTTCCCAAATTTATCCCAGATATCCTATCATTCACTTAGAGAATTGCGATCCTTAAACTGTTTAGTATGGTGTCATAGGCCAGCTCTAAGAGCATGACTCATCTGGCAGATCAAGCAACCCCAATTCTCTAAGCTTTCGTTTCTTTAGTTGTAAACTGTGCCAGTGACAGTTAGGCTGCAAGTGGGTTGTCTTGACTGTCTGTTATAAGGATGCCTCTCTCAACTGCACCTTTCTACTTACTGGAAGTCTCTAGGTGGTGATATGATGGACGGTGGCATGACCTGTGTCCTCTCAGCCCCCAGACAAGTCTTTAACACTCATTAAGAAATAGTATTAAATAAAGATTCTGGAGCACAATTCCTGGGATCAGCCTGGAACGAAGGTATAAGCACAACCCGAAACAGCTTCCTGGAAAGCCCCGGAAGAGCCTCAGAGAAAGCGAGCCTGAGTCTGGGAGCCCAGCTGGGGACCAGCTGTGGTTGCCCCTGTCGGGAAGGATGTGGTGCGCAGACCCCAGGAGAGGATCTTGTGCGTGTTGTCTCAACAGCTCTGATATGGTGTATTCCCAAGCAGCACAGTAGTAAATAGCCATGTCTTCTTTCTCTATGGACTTGATGGTAAGGATTGAAGTGGAAGTTTGAGAATTCTTTCTTGCCTCCAATTTGTTGCTCCTCTCACCCATGCTGCCTCCAGCTGAGGATTTCATTAAGGCAGTATAGATCAGGTGCTCCAAAGCCTGATTTGGTTTCTGCCAGTACCAATGAATGACATCTGTTTCAAAGTTTGTGCTCAATATCTTGCAAGGTATGTCAATACTTTTCTTCATTTCCGTGGAAATGGACAGCTGGAACTGCTCCAAGTTGGACTTGGATTTGATAATCCAAGTCCAACTGTAAGTAAAAGAGGAGAATTTCCAGTGAGCATCTGAGAGTGGAAGAAGGAAACGAAGAATGATTTTAGTTACTGATCTAGACTGAAATTCAGACAGCGACTCACGAGCCCAGAAGGAGGAGAGGGCGAATGCTTCTAGCAGCGACATCCTGTCTGCCCGGCGGTGTCCCCAAGGAGAAGGCAGGAAAGTGCAGACATAGTGGCTAGACGCCTTGGGTAAGGGGCTGGAGGGTGTGGCCTGAATTGGGGAGAGAAAAGAAAGTGGTTTTTGGGGTCCTTTAGTGTCGTCTGCAGGCTCAGCACTGTGCCCCCATCCTGCTCACCCTGTGTATCTCAGATCAGGCCAGCAGTCTCCACGGGTTCCTCCACACAAATGCAAGGGGGCCATGGGTGTTCCTTAATTTCCATGGAAATGAGAAGGGTTTCTAATTGCCTAGTAGTTGTTTATGAACACTTTTCCTCTGCATAATATTTTTAATTATTGCATATTTATAAGCATTAACATTTATAATATCAAACACTTAATGAGCATTTTCTATTTTCTAGCTCTTTTTTTTTCTATGTGCTTTTCACCTTTTTAATCTTCACAATGATCATGTAATATGGAGACTTGGAATTTTCATTTTCAGGGAGAATGAGGCCCAGAATCATCAAGTAACTCTGCAGAAGTCACACAGTTGATAGGTAGAAGATGCTGGTAACAGTGCTTGTCAAAGAAACTCAGAGCAATGGGGAAAGATAACGACAAAAACATCCACAGTCATATCACTAAGGCCTGCTACTATTCACATTATAATATTTTCACTTGTAGATTTTTTCATTGCAGATATGTAAATATTAATACAATTTTATTGACTGTAGATATATTTACATGTATAGTGTTCTGTATTCTTTCAGTTCGTCTTATATTCTAAGCAACTACCCATATCATTGGAGCATTTTTTATTTATTTTATTTTCTTGAGACAAGCTCTTGCTCTGTCACCCACCCTGGAGTGCAGTGGCATACTCATGGCTCACTGCAGCGTCAACCTCTCAGGTGCAAGTGATCCTCCCACCCCAGCCTCCTCCCACCCCAGCCTCTTGAGCAGCTGGGACTACAGGCACTCACCACCACATCTGGCTAATTTTGTATTTTTTGTAGAGATGGAGTTTCGCCACGTTGCCCAGGCTGGTCTCCAACCCCTGAGCTCAAGTGGTCAGCCCACCTCAGCCTCCCAAAGTGCTAGGATTACAGACATGAGCCTCCGTGGCCCACTGAAACACTTTTTAATGTCTATCTATTTATCTTTACCACTTAGGGGCTGGATGCCTGACCCTGTGCAAGCTTCTTAATCTCTGTGCCTCAAATCTCCCATCTGAAAATGAATATAATAATAACACCTATATCAAAATTTTATGCGGACTAGTTAAATACACACAGTATGATTCCTGACGTACAGTAAATTTTCAGTAATTATTAGGTATTGCTACTACTACTACATTTTTATCTCCCCCTTGCTTTTTATTTTTATTTTTGTAGAGATAGGGTCTCGCTATGCTGCCCCGGCTGGAGTGCAGTGGTGTAATCATGGCTCACTGCAGCTTTGTATTCCTAGGCTCCAGCCATCCTCCTGCCTCAGCTTCCTGAGTAGCTAGGACTACAGGCACGCATCACCATGCACAGCTTCCCTCCGCTTCCAACCATCCCTCCACTTCCGCCCCCTCCCACCCCAACTTTCATTGTTAAAGTGCTTTGCTGACTGTTTTGAAGTAGTAACCCGGCTAAATCAAGGGAAATTGGTCAAATATTGTTAGTACTTCATTTTCCCACATTACAGAGCTTCTCTTTTCCTCCATTCAGTTCCATTTTATGAATTCCATGTGGTTTTCTTGGAGATCTTCTGGTGCTTCAGGGCTCCTTTAACCTTGGACAGTGGTTGTCCCTGACACTTCTGTCCAGCTCTGGCTCATGTCATGTGTGACAGGTGTGAACTCCAACAACTTGGATCCTTTTGAGGAGACAGGAGAGGAAACGGCTGGTTCGGATTGCTCCTCCTAAAGCAGCTGCCCCGTTCACCCTCTTTTCTGATAAATACCATTTCTGAGACACTCAGTGGTGGGGAGTTGAATGTTGAGGAGGCGGAGGTCAGTAGACCAATGGGCCTGTGGCTACAAGTAGGAGGACTCACTCTTCCCCTGCACAGGATCTGTCCTGGGAATGAGAAGGAGGAGAGGGTGCCTGCAGGCTGAGCTAGTCTGCAGGGCCTGCCTTAGGGCCCTGGAGCTGCCACAGCTAGGGCAGCCTTGGCCATCTGGAACTCCCCCATGCACACTCCATCCTACCAGACAGTACCTTTCAGACCCTGCCACTCCAGCAGCCGTGTGTGTGTGTGTGTGCGTGTGGTGGGGAGGTTGTGAGGAGTGTGTCTAACTGCTGGAGTCCACAGTCTACCTGACTACCTGGAATAAAGGCTTCTCTGCCAAAGAGAAGACAAAGCTGAAGACGCTCAAGTGGACTCAATCCTCTGACTCCAGAGTCTGCACTCCTTGACTTCACGCCATGGTGTCGCTTATGCGAATGACTTTTTTTCATGACCATTGATTTTTCTTGAGGCTCTGGAATGTAATGTCTGGTGGCTGAATTCACACATTATTTTCATTAGTTCTTTAATGATGATTTTTGTGTAAACTAATTTTGTCTTTCCTTGGGGTTAGGAAGCTACATGGATTCAGTTTATTTAAAACCTTGTCTGTGTGGCTCTATCATTAATTACCTCCTCAACTGGACCTCCACTTCCCAGAGCTCAAAACAGGCTCCTTTTTTGCTAATTAACAAAAGGCATGCCCTTAGGCAGAGTAATTAGATAAAGACGCCCTTTCTCCAGGCTGTCACCGCCCAGCTCCAGAGTGTGCAGGGGCAGGTGGGTGTGAGATGGGATTTTGATTCCTCCTGCCCTCCCTTACCCAAGTGACTTTGAGCAGGGCACAGCCCCCTGGTACCTTTGAGTGGGGCACAGTGGTGGAACACACACAGGCTATCATTCAATATGGAAGGAAAATGTATACAACCTATACCTGTCATCTCTTGCTCGTTCTGATATTGTGGGGAGGCACTAAACTTACCAACTTAAAAGTGTTTCCACCAGGTTAGAGCAGCCTCTTTTGGATGGGCTCTGTCTCTTTATGGTGGCGGCTTAGGCTTTTCTGCGTTTCTCTCTCTTCCTCCTTCTCATCCCCAGGATGGCATTGCTACACAGGGCCAGGGTGTGTGAGCGAGTCAGAGTTGTCTTCCTGCTGCTCTCTGCATCCTCAACGACTTCTAGCACTTTGCCCTGCTGACCTCGGGGATTTCACTCTTCCTCTGAACTGGCTAGTGTAATAACCAGACTGAACTTGCCACTATTGACTTCACACCATGGCCTTGGGATGCAAAGTTTCCATCCTGTGGCTTCTCATCCGAATCCCAGGCACTGTGCTCCCCTGGCCCCCTCAGTACCTTTATATCCTCTCAGAGACCCTGAGAGGCATCTGGGCCTTCTACATGCACAGCCTATGTGGAAAGTGGTACTGGTTTGGCCTCAGCTTTGCAAACGCCTTCCACTTTTGATGAAGTTCTACCAGGGCCATATCAGGGAAGCTTGACAGGAACCAGACACATGTAGATTCTGCTTCTGTCTATCTTGGGTTTCCATTGGGCTTTCTATCCCCTCTGCTATAAGAACCTCAGAGGCAAGGGACCAGGAAGTACCTCTAGGTAACCCTCTGCCCCTCCCACTCTCCCCACCATCTCACACTTCCCAGCCAGAAGGAACACTGCTTCTCCCTGGGTGGGTATTAATGTCACTGATATCATACACTGAGTCTTCATATCTAGCACCTGAAATAAAATTCTGTGTTCTTAGTTTGCCAGGGTGGCCTTTTGACCTATGAATGAGAGATTCACAACTTTAGAAAACTCTTAAAAAAAAATTTGAACCCAATTTTCAAGCCCAACATCTCACAATTAATTGAAACCTTGAGTTTGTTCTGGGAAACTACCATCTTTTTCTATGGGTAGTAAATATGGATTCACTATAATAAAGAAAGGGCGAAAGGTGACATGATTTATTTGGGAGAATAAAAATATGTTGGCCACATATTTCCAAAATATGATCCTCATTACACATTTTGATTCTTTCCTTAAGTCTGGGCCATGAAGTGTTGATCTCTCTCTGTGTATCCCACCTATAGTATTAGCTGCTAAAGCAAGTTCACAAGAACAGAGAGAACTTTCTGTTTTCTTAGCCTTTTCCCCTCCAGTAAGAAGGGTCCTAAGGCAGAATGCCGGCGGGGGGCAGGGTGAGCATGGGGTGAGAGGGTGGAACTCTTCCAGATATTTGTCCAACATGACCCTTTAGCCTTGGCTTCTTGAGTCACTGCCCATTCTGTCTTGACCTGGCTCTGCAGGGCTGGGCAGTAGGTCTGGGCCAGCCCATAGTTACTCACAAATGCCACTGTTCATTCCTATAAAGTTTTGTTTGTTTGTTCATTTTTCAGACAGGGTCTTGCTCTGTAGCCCTGGCTGGAGAGCAGTAGTGCCATCTTGGCTCTCTGAAACCTCTGCCTCCTGGGCTCAAGTGATCCTCCCACTTCAGCTTCTGGAATAGCCGGGACTACAGGCATGCGCCTCCATACCTGGCTAATTTTTGTGTTTTTATAGAGACGAGGTTTCAACCTGTTGGCCAGGCCGGTCTCGAATTCCTGAGGTCAAGTGATCTGCCCGCCTCAACCTCTGAAAGCGCTGGGATTATAGGCCTCAGCCATGGCGCCTTGCCCTATTCCTGTAAAGTTAATAAACACTAAAGGTATTCAAAGTGGCCCAACAGTGCAGTTGAAAGAGCATGAACTGTTTGGACAGATACCTGCCCCTGTCTAAGCATCAGTTATTTCTTTCATGAAGAAGTTTATTTACCAGGTAAGGACAATCACCTGAGATTCTGAACATGTAGGATATCTATCACATTTTCTGGCAGCCCATGGGAGATGAGTGGATATGAATTCCATCTTGTTCCTTGCCAGCATCTTCACCCTGAGCATTTCACCATGACTAGAAGTCTCTAAGAAATGAAATAATGGACCTTGCCTTATCTGAAATAATCATCCAGTTTCAACAAACGTAGTCTCTAAATAGGAGCCTAAGTCAATAGGAAATGATGTCAAATAAGACACTTAAGGGTATTGATAGTCATCAGGCTCCCTTTCTGGTTTCCTGTGATCACAGAGGCATCGCCTGAGGAACACAGGAAGTGCTGCAAGCTGAGGCTGAGTCCTAGC